ATTTTATTTTATTTTATTTTATTTTAATCTTATTTTAATCTTATTTTATTTTCTTAGACATCATTTCAGCTAGCCCAGGAACCCAGTTATGCAGTTACTGCAAGGAAATAGTTTATGGCTCTGCCCCTACTACACAGATTAATTCCCTTGGAATAGCACAAATACTTGACTTGCCCTAGGCAAATAAGCAACTGTTTTCACAGGCCTTACAGAAACTTCATAGCTCTGAGAAACTCCATGACTTAATCAAATTTGCCTAAAATTGTTCAAATTAGCCGCAGAAGTTAGAAGTGTGAAAGAGGTGGGCACAGTTACCCTTCGCAATCTTTGTTTTCACAGTCATGCCTTTAGTTCAAGAAATAAAAAACATCTGGCAAAACAACCTAGTCAACTTTTTGGCTAAAATTTTCTGTCAACAGTAAGTTTTGTATTTCCATGGCAAAAAGAAAGAAAAACAGGACAAAAGACACCTTCCCCCAAAAAACCTCCTCCCAAACCCCCCAACCCAACCATACTTTTATACTATCACACATAAAAGCTCTGGGACATCCCTATTTCAAGAATTTTTGATACAATCTTCATATAGTAAGAGAGACCACACTCTCCTGAGAGCACTAAGTGCTTGTTCACAGGATGTTCAGGAGTCAGAAAAACTGACTGATAAAAGTGAGAGGAAAGCTGCCTGAAGCTGTTTTCTGATCTTCAACAGGACATAAAAAGAACAATATGGAAAAAAATCCCAAAGCTACCAAGGTCCAGATATATTTGGAAACAGAAGGAAACACTGGAGTGCAGGATAGAAAAGAAGGACCCTGCGAAGTTGTTCACAACGTACTTGTGAGTCTTACTGCAGCATTTTCTGGCTAAATGCTGGTTGAATAGAGAATGATTTTGCCCAGGAGGATGAGGAAGAACATCCCTACTTTGTCCCAGCTAGGAGTATAGAGACATGAATTGGAAAGCAAGAAGCTATTTTGGTCTTGCAATATGAATCTTGGCAGCTACCTTTTGCCTGGTCATACCGTCCAATCCTCTCTAGCCCTATTGGATGTGAAAAATGCAATCACAAGCTTCAATGGTAATAAAGATATGAGGACAAAGGTTCACCACAACCGTATCCCATAGAGAAGTCTCAAGGTTCTTACAATTCAGGTAAGAAATTATACCTTTGATAAATCCATCAAGAAAAGCCATTGCATTTACTATGATACTTGAATTAACTGGTATGGATTTAGTTGGTTGCACTGACAGGAATGAATCTACCTGGTGTAGATGCATTGTTGCCATTTTCAGATGGGAATATCTGTCTCTGACAGGACTTGATTTTATGAGTGATTGGAGAGGTGAGAAAAAAATGCAGAAAATTGGAGGAAATCAGGAGCTGTTATGTCTATAATTAAGTTGTGTTTTGTCCTTTCAGCTCCCTAGTCAGTTTGAGTTACATATCATCTTTACTGTGAGTATGCTGTGAGTATGGATTAGTTCAGCAGTGAGTTGGAAGGAAAGATTTTGGGAGTGTTGTCGCTCCTCCCAAGGAAGTTGGAGAGAGTCACATTTGTTAAATTACAAGTTTCTCTTTAAAATGCTGATCTAAGTCAACAGAAGGATCAATATAGTAACATTGCTCCTGGGAATTTACCCATTAGGTTGTTTGAGGCTTTTTTACTATAAGAAAAAAAAAAAAAGAAAACAGAGTAATCTGCTCATATCAAAAGTCAAGATTAAATGCTTTAAACTCCTCACTGAAAGGAAAAAAAAATGCCAGTGTGACAGTGAATGTAATAAAGAGTTTCTGGAAGATAAAGGAAAATATGGACAGCTGAATAGAGGAGGCAAAGAATATGTTTCTTTTGCACCATTTATGTAGTTAAATTTGACACAGAGAAAATGTCCTGCAATCCTCTTTGCCTTTGACAGCATCAAACCCGTTATCTGTAAGTTCATTCATATTTTTCCCTATTATTTTATCTCTGCAATTATGCTTGTTATTTTGCATTGAACATTTGAAGAGACTGGAGGAGTCACACAGGAATATCATCTAGAGGCTTTTCTTTTGGTCCTGTGGATGACTAGGAAGCCTGGATATTGATGGGTTCCTCGTTTTTGTGGCTGACAGCTATTTACATCCTGACTTTTCAACGTGGAACATGCCTGACTACAGGTAAAGATAGTTCCATTTTGAATATATTTTGATGCAACAGCTTATTTCTGATTAGGTTGACAGAAATGTAGAAGTCAAAAGTAATGAGTAGACATCTTCCTTATTTTTAACTTGGATGATATAAAATAACAAATTAATACACCAAATAAGACCGTGGTGTAGTCTGATGTGTGTAAAGGCACCTGAGATATCTGCATAGCCTGGAAGATACGATAGGGCTGAAGAGACCTAACCCTCTAGACTGGTGAATGGAGGCCAAGTGGGAAGCTCCAGGGTAACTCAGCACTAGACATCTAGGTATAACCAACTGAGTTGTGCCCAAGGTATTGGATTTGGTTCACAGATCTAGATGTCTACAGTTAGCTTCTTAGAAGCAGATGTCCACATGCCAGCTCAGCATCTAGGAGAAGATTCAGTTGCTCATGCACTGGCATCTACTGGTATTTCAGATGCCATAGGGTCATCTTGTTTCTTTATGTTCCAAAATAGAAAAGACCTACCATGTAGCCTGTACCACATTTGACGATCCTGTGCCTAGAGAACCTCAGGGCATCAAAGGTGGATGTTCAAGGAACTCTATCCTACCCAATGAACAGACTGACTGTAGAATGAACTGAACAGACTATTGGCTAGATCTCCATTGACAATAGTATGAATGTAGCCAAGTCAATGATTGAACTGAAGTGACAGGTCAGTGGCAAGTCTCTCAGTTTATTCCAAGATGAAAGTTTTGCTTTTAGTCCTCTTGATGACTAGGAAACCTGGACATCTGGTTTTAGGTTCCCAGTTCCGGGCCTTAATCCTGCTCCTTGTGAGTTACTTAGGTGCTGAACCACAGACACCTAGAGCCATTGTAAATGCTTTAGTGTGTCTCAGATTTCCTGTTAAATGGAGTTGGCAGATGTGATAGAAGGTCAGTACAGACTGGGGCCCTTTGGGCTTGGTCAGATGCAATCCCATACAGCACATGAAGTGACATTATATTTAATATTTCCTTGATGTTTCATGGTAGATTTTTAACTTGCCGTAGAATAAAGTCAAGTTGCTGTGATATGAATACTTTCCAAATTCATGTTGGTTGCTATTTATTTTGTTATTTCCAAGAGCCTTTTTTCAATTCTGGTATCATCCTTGGAACTGAAATGAGAATGACTGATTTACATGTCCTGCTTTTCCCTTTTACTCCCTTTCAAAGATATATATTTTGGGTGGGATTCATCTCATGTATCTTTAGAAAGATGAAAGCTGCACATCTAACTTCAGTATAGTAACCCTAGAGTTCACCATTCAAAGAAAAGTTCTGAAACCAAGAGCTATTGGTCTTTTAACAAAGGCTGATCTCTGAAGCTGCCTATTTCTCCCCATCCATTGCAATGTCAACCTAGGACATCTAGCTTGGATGTAGAAGACCAAATCATTGTATATGTAATTCAGGTGCCAACATGTACTAGTGTTCTTCTAGGCACTGCTATATTCCGGTCTATTCTCCAGCTGCTCCTTCACATGAGTGCAAATCTGCTGCAGGTCATATGCCACATCTGCCAGCACCATAGAAATATCTTGCATACCCTATGACATTTCAAACGATACTAGATACAAGCATTTGGGCAATTGAATCCCACTGTTACTTTTTTGCTAGATAGATCCTGCGTCCTGTATTTGACCTCTTACAGACTTAAAGTTCCTCCATTGCCTATGATTTCTCAAAAGCCCTCAATGGCTATGAAATTGCTCAAGTCAGTGTTCAAAGTACTGAAGGATCAACTCCATGAGCCTCACATAATGTGAACATCACTCATCTAAATAATATGTGATGTTATTGTTTTAGTTTTCTTCTGGATTCCTCTCCTGTTATGATATTGGTTCTGCTGGTTGCCTGTTGTAGTGCCATGAAAAATGTGCTATGGACAAACAGAAACATCTGCCCTTTCATCTTCACGCAGGTCAATTTATTAGCTCTCCTCCTAATAGTTCCATCATTGGAGTCATTGGAGAACGAGTCATTCTGCCCTGTCACATAGTAGCAGATAACATTCCTGTGGGATTCTCTGTCCAGTGGATATTTCATGAAGAGTCTCAAAAAATAACTGTGAGCAGATATGATGGAAAGAATAAAAAGGAGAAACAAGATGAGAGATATCAAGGCAGAACAGAGTTCTTCCACAGTGAATTTAGAGATGGCAACATGTCTCTGCACTTGAAGAATGTCAGGAGTTCTGACAAAGGATTGTACACTTGTGTGGTCTCTTTCAATGACACGTACCATGATGCGTTGATTGAACTGCAAGTGGCAGGTTAGTGGTAATTCTATCTCTCATTTTATTCAAAGATGGAGCTGAACAGAAATATGTATATTCACTACCAACTGAGGGAATTCAATATACTTTTAATATAATTTGATTATATATTGAATTCAATACATAATTAAAGTGCATTCATGGAGTCATGTGTTTGGATTGAGTTAGTTTTCTCTAAATTAATGGCTATATCCTAAATTTGAGGTAAGTTTTAGTTCTAGTTCGAGATACCCGTATACAAACACATGTAGCTGTATCATAGAATCATAGAACAGTCTGGTTTGGAAGGAACCCTTAAAGGTAATTTAGTCCAACCCCTCTGCAGTGAACAGGGACATCTTCAACTAAATCAGGTTGCTCAGAGCCCCATCCATCCTGACCTTGAATGTTTCCAGGGATGGGACTTCTACCACCTCTCTGGGCAACCTGTTCCAGTGTTTCACCACCCTCATTGTAAAAAATTCTTCCTTATATCCAGTCTAAATCTTCCCTCTTTAAATTTAAAACCATTACCCCTTGTCCTATCACTACAGGCCCTACTAAAAAGTCTGTCCCCATCTTTCTTATAAGCCCCCTTTAAGTATTGAAAGGCCACAACAAGGTCTTCCCAGAGTCTTGTCTTCTCCAGGCTGAACAACCCCAACTCTCTTAGCCTGTCATCATTGGAGAGGTGTTCTATCCCTCTGATCATTTTTGTGTCCCTCCTCTGGACCCACTCCAACAGGTCCATGTCTTTCCTGTATTGAGGACTGTATGTGACCTGAGAGTACAATCTCCCTTCATACTACATGAAAGCCCAGTTAGAAAGCTCAGAAAAACCTGCAATTATTCAACTGATCAATGGAAAGTTAAATTTAGATTACTACTCTGCAATCAACCATTACTGAGATGATTGTTCAGAGTTTCTCTATGATCGCCATAATCAATAATTGGTCCCATCCCAATACCTCGTTGCTTACCTTGCTGCTTGCCCACAGCAGGAGAACAAAGTGATCGATAGACCTTCATAAATCCTATTTCCATTTCAGTACATTAATAGATACCATCTTCATGGGTAGCTTCAGTTAATCAGAGACTAGAATCATAGAGTCATTTAGGTTGGAAAAGATCTTTAAGGCTATCGAGTCCAACCGTTAACCTAACACTGCCAAGTCCATCACCAAACCATATCCCTAGGTGCCACATCTACATGTCTTTTAAATACCTCTGGGGGTGATAATCACTTCCCTGGGCATCCTGTTCCAGTGCTTGACAACCCTTTCAGTGCAGAAATTTTTCCTAATATCCGGTCTAAACCTCTTCTGGCACAACTTGAGGTCATTTCCTCTCATCCCACCATTTGCCCCTCAGGAAAAGAGACCAACATCCACCTCACTACAATCTCCTTTGAGGGAGCTGTAAGGAGCAATAAGGTCTCCCCTCAGCCTCCTTTTCTTCAGACTAAACAACCCCAGTTCCCTCAGATATAAGACTCTTTATAAGACTCTTTATAAGACTTGTGCTCCAGAACCTTCACCAGTTTCTTTGCCCTTCTTTGAACATGCTCCAACACCTCCATGTCCTTCTTGGAGTAAGAGTTGTGACCCAAGTACAGGACCCGGCACTGAGCCTTGTTGAACCCCATACAGTTGGCTTCAGCCCATCAATCCAGCCTGTCCAAATCCCTCTGTGGAGCCTTCCTACCTCAAACAGATCAACACTCCTGCCCAACTTGGTGTCGTCTGTAAACTTACTGAGGGTGCACTTGATGCCCTTGTCCAGATCATTGATAAAGATATTAAACAGAACTGACCCCAATACTGAGCACCAGTTGTGACTGGCCAGCAACTGGATTTGACTCCATTCACCACAACTCTTGGAGCTCAGCCATCCTGCCAATATTTTTACTTAGTGAAGAGTAAAATGTGGTTGGCCTGGAAGTGGATATGTGTTCCTCCATGCTTTCCCTGCTACACAGGAACCAATTTCCACTAGATAGGTATAGTGGAATCTCATATTGCAGATAGATTTTCCTGAAGATGTCTTCTTAGCTTTAACACTGCAGATGAAGCAAAGTTTTAACGTCTAAGTAACACTGTAATTGAGTCTTCCAAGCTCCTGATTACAAGCAATATTTTTTTTTTACACCATAGACTTGATCTGTACCATGTCAGTAACAGTTTTACTTGAAATAATTAGCCTGAAACAGTAAGATATTCTGTTTTCATGGACAGGTTGCACTTGTTGTTCATAGGCTTCCAGTAATCCATTAATCATTATTATTATATAGATTTTTTTAATTTTTTTTTTTTTTTTACAAAATTCTGGGAAATTCCAATAGTAATTTCATTCCAGAATAGCCCTCCCCAAACAGTTCTGTTTTCTGTAATCTCCATTAAATTGTTCCTTATTCTGAATCTGATTGATAGGCTTAACTGCTGACCATTGAGAAACTTCAGGGCTCAAGTCTCTGTTGTGGTTTAAATTCATAAAAGTCTTTCTATGTACTTCCATACAAATATATAAATATATATATGTAAAAGAAGTGTCGAATTTGAGATAAACCAGAGAATTTCCTGTTCTCAGTACTGGTTGAAATGGAGAATATGTATGCTTTATCTTAGCTAAAGGTAGTGTGCCTTCCATTTTCCTGAAGAGCCACGTGAAGCAGGGCATTGGCCTCACCTGCCATGCAGCTGGATGGTTTCCTAAACCTGAAGTGATTTGGCTGGATGGCCAAGGACGTGTCCGGAAGGAACTATCAACCACAAAGATAACAGTGATGCCTGCAGGCCTATACAGTGTTGTGACTTCCATGAACCTAAAACCGGGCTCTGACATGGAAGTCTCCTGCAGGATAGTCAACAATCTGCTAAAGACAACGAGTGATTCCCGAGTGCTAATCTCAGGTGAGTGAGCTCTGTATTCACCTGCTCATAAGATTACAAAGACAGACTGTGTAAATGACATGGGACCCATTTTTATGTCATGAGTTGACTTGAAGATGTATTCCCAGAATCAGTGTTGGAAAAATGTTCATGAGAGCTACAGCCTTCTTCCACCTCTAGTTCTAATTGACTGCATAGCCTTCGACAGTACCTAGTGAATCAGTTTCTCCTTTTAAAAAGGGGTCAGGTAGTATCAAGACTTCTGTGTTCCCTTCTCCAAACTAGTTGGAGCTGAATTAAAATGGATTAAGAATGCAACTGCATGCACATACAGAAGTGACATATTTCCTTAGTGATGGTCAAGCACTCTAAAACCTTTCATTATCCAGAATGAGATTATCAGGCCATTTAATAGATGTGCGCTGATGGATTTCACAGAGCATAGCTGAAAACAATAGTTACTGTCAAAAGAGTTAAAGTGATAAGTTCAACAGCTCATAAATGTTTTTAGTTATGGTTTTATCTCCTCTGTTTTTAATATATGCATTATTGTGTAATTGGGGTTTGGATAATGTCACATTTCCCCATACTCTGTAGAACTTTACACAGTTCTGTTTGCTGGGTATATAGATAAGCATCAGGTAGTCTGAAGCAAACCTCATAGGGCTGGACCCCAAAAAGAACTTCAGTACCACAAAGTCAATGTCTAGGTCTGGAATGGGAAGTAGAGTGCAGTGTAAAGCTCTTCAATAGCTGTGTGAGGGAAATCCCTTTTGGGATGACATCAAGAAGTCCCAGAAAATTGCATGTGGAGGTTCCTGGAAAGAGAAAATATGAAACAGTGAATGTGGAAAATGTCTTAAATCTTATTCTCCTTCTGGACTTAAGAACCATACTCAGCAGGATGAATAAAATATTTACGGAAACAAATTAAACAAGTGTGAATGTGCCTCTTTAGCCCAGTGGTGATGGTTTCATCCTTCATTCCAGTACTTGCTTGAAAGTTAGTTTAGTGCACAATGCCATGCAGCCATGAAAAAAAACAGAGCCATTACTGCTGGCTTTTTCATGACATATAAATTGTGGAAACCTGTCTACCTATCTCAGACACCACCCTGGGAAGGTGATGGCACGACTTATCCTT